TTTTTTTTTTTTTTTGGTTTTTCTCCGGTACCGGGAACCGAACTCATGACCTTGCACTTGCCAGGCAGGCGCTTCCTGCATATTTATTTTTTCAGCATGTGGCAAAGAACATGATGGTGTCTTTAAAACTATGGCAGCTGGGCCATGCTGGTACACACCAATAATCCTAGCTACTGGGGAGGCTGAGACAGGAAGACTGCAAGTTTGAGGCCAGCTTGGGCTACTTTATGAGACTCTGTTTCAAAATAAAAAAGTAAATAAAAATAGCGAAGGATTTAGCTCAGAGTTCCCTGAGTTCAATTTCCTACTACCTCATAAAAGGAAAAACAGCGTTCAGATATAAGTGCTGGTGTGTGCAGCACACTGGGAGAACTGTGACCTCTTGGTGGGACTGAGGGTTGCAGGGGAAGGTCACCCTGCTGTGGGCTTTCAGCTGGGGGAGGTGTTGTGAGGCAGACACCCCCTTTCCTTCCTCTACAGTGACCAGCAAAACCAGCAACATCAGGGCAAACTTTGAAAACCTTGCTAAAGAGAGAGAGCAGGAGGACAGACGGAAGGCGGAAGCAGAGAGAGCACAGCGGATGGCCAAGGAAAGGCAGGAGCAGGAGGAGGCTCGAAGGAAGCTGGAGGTGAGGACAGAGGATCTGGCCCAGTATGTTGTGTGCATGGCTGAGGGGGCGGCATGGTTGTGCTCCCAGTGGCTGCTCCTTTCCTCAGCAACCCAAAGGTTCTCAGTAGAAAGCATTTTCTAGTCAGAGTCAGCCAGCCCCAAACCGCCCTGCCAAGTTGGCCTGTCCAGGGTGCTGGACTGTAAGCCACTGCCCACACTGAGCCTGCAGGAGACACTTAGTGGGAAGGGAGGTGTGCTTCCTGTTGCCTGACTGCTAGGGCTGGTCTGCCACTTTTCCCTGTGATCTGGACATTTTCAGTAGAGGAGGAGGATGCAGGGGCTGTGGAGACTGGACAGGGAGCAAGTACTCTCCTTCTAGAAGTTTCTGCAGAAAGCAGACCTCTGCAGTTGCTGGCTGTGCTCTGCCACCTGCTACCTAGGCACCTGCTGACAACCTGGCTGGATCTCTTGGGTAATTGAGAAGTAGAGTCCAAAATATTGCACAGGAAGCTGTTGTGTAAACCTCGATACTGGACATTTTCTCCTTGAAGCAGCGCTTGGGGTTCTGAGAATCCCACCGAGGGAGGAAGTCAGCGTGTGGTAGGTAGGTGGTAGGCAGGTGGTGCTGAACAAGCCCTGATTTGTCTTAGTACAGGCAGTGATGTAGGAGTAATAGGGAGTTCATGTCAGTGCTGTTTACCTGTCCTTAGTGATTGGAAATATGTAATGATCTCATCCAGTTTTTATAAAGTAAAATGTTTGTTGTTTGTTACAGAACACCCAAATACATATAGGAGTTTTTTACTTCCTTTGTCTTGTTTTCTTTTCACATAATTTGGACCTTCCTCATTTCATGACTGAATTTTAACCCCTGCCATCCGGGACTCAACAGCATCCAAACCATGCAGCTTGACCTGCTTACTTGGGAGGAGAAAGACCTGGGTAGAATAGGGTTTTTTTTCGTCATTTTGAGACAGTGTCTCGCTATGCAGTTCAGGCTGGCCTTGAGCTCACTTTGTAGCCCAGGCTGGCCTCGAACTTGCAACGATCCTCCTGCTTCAGCCTCCCGAGTGCTGGGATTATAGGCGTGTGCAGCCACGCCTGGCTGGGTAATTGTTGTTTAGTTCCTTTCTACATAGGCTCACTTGCTGTGTCCTTTTTTGTTTCCAGCCCCCTTGCATTTCTCCACCCCAGCAGTGTGAGGAGTCTCAGGTGGAACCACTTGGTTCTTAGGAGTGCCCCAGACAGGTTGGCATGTCCCCGGAAGACGGAGCCTGTGCGTCAATTCACTTGTGCTTCCTCCATCTGGTGGCCTGCCTCTGAGGAGGTTTCTCACCCAGCTGGACTTGGGAAGGGCTGGAAGTAGAGCCCTCGGCCTGCAGATGTGTTTGTGAGGTGATCCAGTTACCCTGCAGCCAGAGGCCTGGCTGCTGTGACTTGTGGGTCCGCTCCTGCCCTTCAGGGCCGCCTAGAGCTCAGGCATTGGGTGTTGAGCCTGTGGGTGATTCGAAATGACAAATCCTAGCAGGCCAGGCAAGGCCACACATGTGGAGAATTACGCTCAGGGTCCCAAGGACCAGGCGTGGTTTTCTTCTCAGCAAAATGAGGCGGTGTTACATTGTTCCATAGGGAAGGTTTGGCATGGCCCAAGGGGTTCAGATCCTGCCTCTGTGGCTTCCTGGCTGTGTGTCGTCTTTATCCTTCACTGGGCATGCAGGCATCAGTGTTTTTCTTACGGCTGCTATTTCAGATCACACACACTCAGCTTAGAACAGCACATTCATTGTCTGTCAGTTCTGGCATCAGGAATCCTAAAAGGTGTCAGGGGGGCTGTGTTCCCCTGGCAGCTCTGGGCTTCCCTTCTTTTCTAGCTTCTAGAGGCACCTGTGTTTCTTGGCTCCTGTGACTCCAGCCTCTACTTCCATCTTCACATGTCCTGGCTGCCTGTCACACTGCTCACTGTCTTGTCAGGACCTTGTGATGACATTGGGCCTACCATAGAGTCAGAGCATGGGACATTATTTGTCTACTGCATTGTCCTCTGGCTGCTAAGGATTCACATTTTCTTTACTCTCAAAATACACTCACCTCATGTCATGGTCCCTGAAAGCCTTAGTCCACTACAGCATGAACTCATCATCGGTATCACCTCGGTGAGTGAGGATGCAACAGTGAGCTATAGGCCTGTGACAGCATTGTGGCTTTGCCTAGTGCACCATGAGGTGTGTCCTCCAGTGTGTGGCACCGTGGAGTGCTGTGGGCCACCCAGGTCTTTGCACTCAAGAGTGGTTTACTGACAGCATGACCTTCCTTTGCTGCAGCTGCTCCTTCTTTGCCCAGGATGTGGTATTTTCTGCTCTTGCATCAGGCCCATACTGCGGGGTAGGGCCCGTCCTTTTCTGAGATACTGGTGCCATCAAGGCAGGCGTGACCTTCTGGGCCAACTGGTAACCTTCTGGTTGCTGTTTTTCTGTTGCAGGAGCAAGCCAGAGCCAAAAAGGAAACACCCCCTGCTTCCCCGACCCCTCAGCCGGCTGAGGAGAGGCAGCCTTCCAGCCCCATCTATGAGGTGGGTGTTTTCATTTGGTTTGTGAAGGACTCTCGGACCTTTTGCAATGCCAGCATGGATGTTTGACCTACTGTGCTGTGTGCCCACACTGAGCAACGTGGTATGGCAGTTCAGGAACAGCAGCCCCGGAGCGTGGCGTCCTTCTCTCTGCCCTTTTTTACCTCTGCGGCTCCCTGTAGCCTGGTGGTCACTGTCTCCCTGCAGCCCTGGTGAAGTAACTGGGTGCCAGTGCTCAGTCCTGTTGGTTTTGTTGTTCTTATTTCACCCGCTTTGTGCTGTGTTGAGCTGACCACACTTCTGTGTGGGAACCCCCATCCTCCCTTGGCACCGAGACCCTGCCCCAGTGTCACTTCTGTGGCTCTGGTGTCATGTTCCCGGACACCTCCCTTCTGTGCCGCATTGGTGCTTCACACAGCCCCGCGGTCTTGCCTCTCCCCTCCAAAGTGCTGACCTGCCTGCCGTCTCCTGTGCTCTCCCCAGGCTCCTGGCACCCACTCCCATGTGAACTGTGGCCCATGTCCTGTTTCCCTCATAGCCAGTACTGGGCCATGCATTTCCTTTTTGATCTAGATACATCATTTTTATGTCAGTGAGTTGCAACTCAAGACTCAAGACATAGGGAGGCATGGACCTGGGAAAGCTGTGGGAGATGCACAAGGCCTGGGGCTGGGTGGTCCCTGGTCTCACTGCTCACTCCTTGAGTAGTGCTGCCACTACCCCATGTGGTGGTTTTGTCTTGTCAGACCACATGGTGGGTGTGGTGGACATGGCCTTGTAGCTCATTACTGAGAGCAGGGCAGCCTTGAGTTGTCCCCGGCTAGTCACGGGCTCTGGTTAGACCATGTATGGAGAAACTGGTCCTTTGATGAGGAGGCTGATGCCTTGCTGTCCCTGGGTTTGGAGGTGGATCACGTGATTGGCAACACTGCTGTGAGAAGGGATGGGGAAGGAGGTGCCATTGTAGGAAGTTTGGAGGACAGGGCCTACCTGGGGGCCCATGTACTCTGCAGTCTCCCATGGGCCCAGGGCACTTTGCCAGGGGGAAACAGTTGTCACTTCATTGTACTTTGATAGTCTGCCGTTTCTGTCCTGGAGATAGGTGCTATCCTTGGTCACCTGCTCTCCTTATTCACTGGGCTGCTCTTGCGGCCGGGTCACCTTCCAGAGAAAGCCAGGCCCTCCCAGTGGTATCATGCAAATGCCATTCCTGACCATCCGCCCTGCATTTTGTTTTCTCGGTTTTTTTTTTGTTGTTGTTGTTTTTGTTTTTTTTTCGGTTTTTTTCGGGTACCGGGAATCGAACTTACGACCTTGCACTTGCCAGGCAGGCGCTGTGCCGCTGAGCTAAATCCCCAGCCCCGCCCTGCATTTTGTGATCCACAAAGGGCACTTGGTCATAAACATGGAAACCAGTGTCACTGTGTTTTTCAGAAGGCCTATTAGGGCTTGGAAGTCATAGGGTTTTAAATTAAAAGGTGTATATTTCCTTTGAGAGAGTAGCTTTGTCTTTGAACGTGATTCTTCGGTGGTTCCCTTGCCACACTCTGGTGGAGGACTTGGTTAGAAGAGAACCTTGTCGCTCACCAGCGTAGCTGCCCCAGGCAATGGGCTGGAGTGAATGGGAAGCTGCTGGCTGGTGCTAGTGGGAAGCACCAGACAGGACAAAGACCTGAATCCTAAAATACAAGCAGGCCAGTTCCAACTCAGGCGCCCACTCTCATGGACTCTCAGGACTGACTAGAGCCCTGGGGACACAGTGTGGGGAGTGTGTGGCTCCTAGTGGGGAGGGTGGATTTTAGCTCCTTTAGGATTTGGGAGTGTTGGGGGTAAGGACTGGGGCTCCTTGGAGGAGAGACCACTCAGGACTTTCAGCTGGTGCCTTCCTGATCTGTGTCTCTTTTGCTCAATCCCAGCCAAGGCTAAGAAATATCCCCTGTGTTTTAGTTGACATTGGCAGTGAGACTGCTACTTTTTAGATGCCAGCTCGGCCCATAGGAAATGTCCATTTGACCCTTCCCAGGATGCAGCCTCCCTGAAGACAGAGCTGAGCCACAGAGGTCCTGCTGGCGGGAGTGAACCCGAGCCTGTGTACAGTGCAGAGGCCATGAACTACCCAGAAGCCAGCAGCCAGCAGGGCCTGGCCTATGCTCCGGAAGCTGTCTATGACACCACCGAGGCCTCGGGCCACTACCAAGCAGGTACTATGCCCCTACCTTTGTGCCCCTCCTGGGGGAAGGGCTCCCTGAGAAATCCCACCCAGCTCCATTCCTTGTAAAGAATGTGTTCAGGGTTCCTGTCTGCCCAGCACTGCTGCCCCTCAAACTCTTCATTTCCCTGTTGGAATGGTTTTAGGAACAGTGGTACCCAGTGGCCCTGGGAAGGTCTCTGGGATTCTGGGACACAGCAGGGTGGAGGGCAGGTCTGGAGTTAGGAAGGGAGCCTCCGCTACTCTGCCATGTCCTCTGGACATCAAGCTCCTGTCTGCTGCAGGACAACCTTAAAGATGACACTTTCTTCAGCTTGAAGGTGGTGCAGATATTCCACTTAGGTCAGTGGTGGTGAACCTAAGGCGTGCATGCCGCAGTGGGTACACGGAGCCCTTTCTGTTGGCACACAAGCCAAGTTACTCCAGCAGCCACGCTTTGGATAATAGTTGTTTTTTCTAAACTAAAGCTTCAGTATTCAGGTTTAATTGCAATATTAGCACTTTGTGATAAGTTAGTGGGTTTTGTGTTACAGTGTGGGTAGTAGGTCTCTAAGAAGTTTGCCATCACTGACTTAGGTGAATACTACAGGTGGATTTGTTGTCCCTTAAAACTGAGGTTTTCTAAGGTACACCAGGTCCAACACAAGCCCCTTGTCCCACATGGAGCAGTGTGGTTGGTACAGAGAGCAGGGGCCACCTGGTCTGAGAGCACACATGAGGGCGAAGCCTCTTAGCTTGGCAGGATCTGGGGCATTGATTGCCCTTTCTCTTCCTTCTATTCACTTCAGTGACCTGTGACTTTCTCTGATGATGCTAGATGTTTTGCTTTTTAAAAGTTGCACTCTAAAAACAGTCAGTACTTGCCAGGAGGACCATGTTCCCTGGGTAGTGTCAGAGCTGGGAGTCCATGGACTGGCTCTTGAAAGCTGGAGTCTTGTCTTTCTTCCATTTCTAAAATGTGCCTCATTTCCTACCTCCTGCTGCCCTCAGATGGGAGCTCACTCACTGAGATTCTTTCCTAGCAAGTACTCCTGCCCCAGATCTTGGGAATAATTGTGTGAAAAACAGTCACAGAGGGGAGGTGCCCATGGGGACCTCGGCTGCTACTCAGCTGTCCCTTATTTCCTTTCAGAAGACAATACCTATGATGAGTACGAGAATGACCTGGGCATCACAGCCATCGCGCTCTACGACTACCAGGCTGGTGAGGCACCCACGTGGCTTCCTGCCAGCTCAGCCCCTAAGAATCTGACTCTCTAGTGATGCTACACTTTTTATTTTGAAATAATTTCGGTTACAGAAAAGTTCCTACTACAGTGGCAGGAACTCCCTATGCTTGTCTCAACCAGGTTCCATTTTTCTGCACATGTATGCACACACATACCCACCCCAATTAGATTTAATTTCAGAACCCTTCGGGAGCTGCAGGGTCCCCATCACCCCTAAATACCCCAAGCTTGGTTTGGTAGCATATGCCTGCAATCCCAGCTATTTGGGAGACCAAAGGCCTTGAACTCATGGTGGGCAGTCCTCCTGCCTCAGCTTCTGGAGTGCTAGGATTACAGGTGTGCATCACCATGCCTGGCACGTGTGTCTTATTTTTATTTTTGGGTGGGTTCTCTGACATTTTGGCATCTGTGTGTATGTTTGAGAATACTGAGTTCATCTTGTGGCCCCCATTCCAGCCCATCACCAGGGCTCCCTTCTAGACCCCTGCTGTGCTCAGAGCCAGCCTCCCTGACTGCCCCTCCTACATGTCCTCCTCCTACTGTGCCCTGTGGCTAGTGGGCACCCTTTCCTTGTATTCACCCAAGGAAGGTGGGAAGAAAGCCAAGTTGCTATGAGTAAACTGATTTCTCAAAGAATGGTGCCTGGCTGGGGTGGGTGTTCTGTGGAGGACCCTGCCACGTTTGTACATCCCAGCCTTAGGCTGGTGGTGGCTGCCATCTAGATCTTGGCTGCATGTTCCTCCGAGCGCACCTGGAAGTGTTTTGTATTTGTGTCTCTCTGTGTGCTCTCTTCTAGCGGGTGATGATGAAATCTCCTTTGATCCTGATGACATCATCAGCAACATTGAAATGATCGATGATGGTTGGTGGCGTGGTGTATGTAAGGGCCGGTATGGGCTCTTCCCAGCCAATTATGTGGAGCTGCGGCAGTAGGTGGCCGGCCTGCCTTCCGGTGCCTGCACGAATTCACACTACAGATCATGCCTTCGCTGGTTTGGGGTTTTGGGTTTGTATTTTTGTTTTTGTTTTCTTTTCTGAGGGTGGGGAAGGGAATATACATATTGCTTTTATATTTAATACTTTTGCTGATGCTTTTGAAAATGTTTATGCCACAGAATTTGCTAATATATTGTAATCATGATCCCTAGGAGGACTTTGGTGATTGTTTTTGAACATATTTCCTTGTTTTGCCAAATTGACTGTCATGTGTAGCCACTTCAGGGGCCTGTGGCTCTCCTGAGGTCAGTAGTGCATGTTGTCCATATGTCTGTCGTGACAGTCGGGTCTCCCAGGACAGATGTCCGTGTCTGCAGCTCCGGGAGTGCTGCCCATGTAAGAAGCTCTCCAAGGCATCAGTGTTCAGAAGCGGAGGGAAGGGACCTGGCCAAGGGTCAGATTGGGGGGAACCGCTGGAAGGGGTGCTGGCTTCCTCGTCAGGCGGGAGACCCCACATCGCATCCCATGCGACCCCAGGTTGTCCGAGGCTTTCTCCTGTGCCGCTGTCTTGTCTCATCCCTGTCTCCGTGGCTCTCCTGACACCTGACTCCTGACTCCTGCCCTGCTATGAGGTTTCACCACATCCTTCCACTGTTCCCTCACTGCTTGTCTCAGGCCCTGGACCACAGTGAAGGGCCCTGGGCTTAGAGGTGAACCTGAAGCTAGTGTTGGGCCCTGGGTGCCACACAGGACTGCTGCCCTGTCACTCAGACTCTCGGCTCATGCAGTGGGGTGTGCCGTGTGTGGCTGCGTGGCCCCCAGTTGGGGGAGGCAGGTGCCTTTTTGGTGTGAACTGCCAGAAGCATGCCCTCATCAGGATGCTGTGCATTTTGCCAAAATCTCATGTTCAGTTAGTGAAATTTGATTGACCTGGCTGAAATACAACTGGGAGTGAGCAAGTGTTCCTTCCCAGTGTGCCACGGTGGCATCTCTGAGCCACTGTGCCCATATTGCCTGCCACTTGCAGAGGGAAATAAACGCGTGTCCTCCCCAAGACACCAGGACCAGTCCTGTTTGTGCACATGATTGGGGGACGGGTGTCTTTCCAACAGATCCATAGAAATGTGTCAACTGTTGGGGACACTTGATGGTCGTGATGCACGTGTTTTCTCTCTGGAAGTGATTTCTGCAGTGTCCTTGCTTTTCCACTATTAGGTTGGGTTTTATATACAACTCATTGTATCTGGATTTCTGTAGCACACCTCATAGGTATGATTTTTTAAAAAATTAAATATTCAGAATAAACTTTTTTTTGGACCCATTTGCTGCATGATTTGCTCTGATACTTGGTCTTTTGTTCTGCAGTTGAGGTGGCTTTGTTGATCCGTGTCCCATGCTCCTTGAGAGCCCTGGCCTGGACCACCCTCCAGCCAGTGTGCCACACATCCTGCTGCTGCTCAAGTCAACCAGAGTCCCCTTCTCAAGGGACCTGCTACTCCAGAGGCACTTTTTAATCACTGAAATACACTCTCACATCACCAGTTATTTGAACAAAGTCTCCAAACAGAGCAGAAGATGCCATATTTGACCATCACTTCTGAGCTACAACTCTCCAAGTGAATCCTTCAGTGGGTACAGAGTAGCCAGAGGCGGTACTTTCCTTCAGGACACAACACATCAGGGTCATCACATCAGGGAAGTGGTGGCTCTGGGCAGAGGGACTGGTGTCTGCAGCAGGGGGCTGGCTCCTGGACCTGCCCTGGGCTGTGGGCAGTCTGCTTTAGTAAGGAAGCAGTCAGTGGACCAGGTACCAGCCACCTCTTTGGAAACCCCAGGGCAGTGGCTAGGGAGCTGGTGCCCCACCATGGTTTCCAAGGTGACACGCAGACTTTTCTTTATGAGTGGCTCCTGGACTAAGTGCCCACACAAGAGGGCTTTGAAACTTCAGGAGAAGCTGCTGTGCCATCCCTAGAAGCAAGGGGAGCATAATACAAATTGTAGACATTGCAACACTAGTGCATTCTTCCCATTTACAGAAGCTGAGAGTGGCACACTGCAGCTGTAGTCTTGCTGTAGGCGTAGGCCCAGGACCCGGGGTTCCAGGCACTGCCCTTCCTGTCTTGCCAGGTCCCTTGACTTTTCCTGCCTGCAAAGCAGGGCTTGGAAACCTGGGTCCACTCATACCCTGCCTGCCGGGACCTCCTGTAGAGCCTCAGCCTGTGCTCATATGCCCCTCCAGCCTCTGAGCTGGCAGCAGCACCCCCAGCACCCTGCCTTGGCTCCCACTTGGTAAACAGAGCTTTGCTAGTGGTGTTTGTGGGATACAATCCTGAGAGCCCAACTCTCTTCCCACAACAGACCTGGCGCATTGAGGGGTTCCCAGTGGAGAGGCCTACTCTGCATGTGATTATTCTGTGGGGGTGGGAGGAGACTGCTGCCACCTGTTGGGGAGGGTGGGCAGGTCTGAGCATGGGTGTGACACGATGAGTGTGTAAAAGGGTTTCCACGGGCCCACTGTCCATTTGCCCTGTGACCACAGGTGTGGGCTCGGCAGGACCAGGACACATTGTGGACAGGTCTGTTTCTGTTTTGCGGGTGACTCTGTATGACAGGGAGCCCATGCTTCTGTAGTTCTCCCTCACCTTCCATAAGAAGTTCATCCCAAGGACCCCTTTGGTTTGAGGAACAATCTGGAACTAGGCTGCTGGGCAGCTTTATGCTCTGAGCCAATGGAGGATGGAGGTCAGGAAGTGGGCGGGCTAGCCTCTCTCGATGCTCAGGTGTGAGGAATGATTTTGTGGTGTGTAGGGAGCAGAGATCTGTAGGAAGCACTGCAGTCCCTGCTGGCCACTTTGGGCAGCCCTGGTGTGTGCACAGAGCAGGGAGAACTGAGTCCAGGTGAAACCTCTTGTCATGCATCTGGAAGATTTGCCTGCTGGTGCTTGTTCAACCAAAGATGTCCAGGGAGGGACTGCATAGTCAGTATGTTAATGGAGCCTCTCCTAGGTGCTGGGCCTTGCAGGTACAATGTCTTGTGAGAGGGCACTGGCGAAGAACAGGTTCCACTTTCATTATTGTCTCCAGCTACAGTTTGGGCAACCAAGAAGAGGACGTTGTGGTCCGTGGGAGGCTTCCCCATAGAGCTGTGCCCTGTGCTCTTGTGCCCTGCAGATGCTGAGAGTCAGCAGGTGCTTTGCCACCAGCACTGGCTTGCAGATAGATCTTCATCTGTATCTGAAATCAGAATTAAAAATAGTCTCAACTAGCTGAGGTGGCACACTCTTGAAGTTGAGGCAGGAGGATTGTTGCAACTTTGAGGCCATCCTAGACTACATAGTGAGACCCTGTCTCCAAAAAACCGAAACAAAAGACAGCTACCTCTTTCTAGTCATGTACTTGAAAGAGTCATTTTACTTGCTTGAGTGTGGGATTTGCTGGGACACACCTTCCCAGCTGGATGAGCCAGGCACAGTGTCACAGGCCTGTGGTCCCAGCGCTCAGGAGGCTGATGCACCAGACTTGCCTGAGCCTAGGAGTTCCAGGCCAGCCTGGGCAACATAGTGAGATCCAGCTCAGAGCAACAACTGGGTGTATCACAATAGGGTGTGATGATACATTTAGTAATTTGTACTTGCTTTTCTTGAGACATCAGGACCCCTTTAGGTTCTTGCCTCCAGCGTTTTGAATTGTGTTTTTTCTTGTTAGCGCATTAGTTATTTCTTTTGACATGTTTGTTCTGCTATGGAAAGAGCAACCCGCTTTTGATTGTGATTGTGAAAGTGACACTAAGTAAGGAACCTAGTCAAATACAGTAAAAACAGTCTGAGTGGTGAGGTTGTTTTTCCCTGAACATTATCGTTGTTATAATAGTACTTATTCAATTAATGTTTAAAAATCACATCAGTTGTCATTTGTGCGCTGTAGGATTTCCCACAAACATAAGCCACCTCTAGATTTAGTATTGTTAATGTTGCCACTGTTAATTAAACTTGCTACTGTAAAATAAAGAAATAATCACCTTTCGGGCGTGCTGTGAGATTTTCGGTTCTTATTAGGCCCCAGTACCCTCTCCTGGACAGAACAATGGCTTCCCAAAGATGCCCACATCCTAATGGCCAGCACCTGTGAGCATGTACTGTCTGGCACAGAATTAGGTGCAGATGGAAGCAGGCACGGGGAGGGGCTGGGGAGTCAGTGTTTAAGTGGGACAGAGCTTCAGTTTGGGGAGATGAAGTTCTGGAGATGTTCGTGATGATGGCTGGACAGCAGTGTGAGTGTGCTTAACACCCCTGACCCATGCACCCGAACATAGTTCAGATGGGAAGTGTTACGTGTGTTTTACCATAATGAAAAAATACTTTTTTTTCTTTTTTTGTCTTTTCGCTGTGCAGTTCAGGCTGGCCTTGAGCTCACTTTGGAGCCCAGGCTGATCTCGAACTCACAGCGATCCTGCCTCAGCCTCCCAGGTGCTGGGATTACAAGTATGTGCCCCCATGCCTGGCACAAAAAATACTTTTTTTGTTAGTTTGTTTTTTGAAGTGGGGTCTTGCTTTGTAGCTCAGGCTAGCCTTGAGCTCACTATGTAGCTAGCCCGGGCTGGCCTTTAACTTGTGGCCATCCTCCTACCTCAGTTGGGCTTATAAGTGTGTGACATCATGCTCAGAAGAAAAAAACGTTTAAATGGAGATGATTTTACATTTTCTGTGTGAACCCAGGGTAGCCCTAAGGGGCCTTCAGAGTGGAAGAGGGAGGCCTAGAGTTCAGAGTCACAGTGGTGGGATGGGAGAGGGACTTGACTGACTTTGCCAGCTGTGAAGTTGGGAAGGGTGGGTAGGATCCACAAGATCTTCTAGCAGCTGGAGACAGGAGGAAGCGGATTCTCCACTGGAACCTGCAGGGAGGAAGGCAGCCTGGCTGTACCATGTCTTTAGCTCAGGAAGTCCCTTGCCAGACTCCTGACTTTCTTTATTTTTGTCCCCTTCCCTCCATCCCCTTTCTCTCCCTTCAACTCTTGCTTCCCTTTCCATATGCAAAAGCTCTGTTTCCATTTTTTTTAACTTTTTTTTTTTTGTGATCCTCTGGTCTCAGCCTCACGTGCAGGGATTATAGGTATGCACCACTGTATGGGGCTTAACCCTTAGCAGTTTTTATGTGTGCAATATATTGCTTTTTTTTTTTCTTTTTCTTTTTAGACCAGGGTCTTGCTATGTAGTTCAGGCTGGTCTTGAACTTGCTATGTAGCCCAGGCTGGTCTTGAGCTTGCAATGATCCTCCTGCCTCAGCCTCCCAACTGCTGGGATTATAGGTGTGCCACCATACCTGACTTGTGTAGAATATATAGTTTTTAGCTATAGCAACCATAGTGTATGACAGATCTTCTATTTTATTTTTTGAGATGGGGTTTCATTATGTAGCCTAAACTGGCCTTTGAAGTTAAAGTTCTGCTTTGGTTCCTGAGCAGCTGGGACTGTAGTTATGTACCACTGTGCCTGATTTCTCCTTTTTAAAGGCTGAATAATATTCCATTGGCTGTATGGGTCACATTTTGCATAACTCTTCATCTGCAGGTAAACACTTGGGTTCCTTCTACCCTTTAGCTATTGTGAGTAACCATGCTGTGAACATGGGTGTGCACATATCTCTTCAAGACCCTTCTTTCAGTTCGTTTGCACATATTTGCAGGCATAGGATTGCTGGATCATATGGTAGTACTCTTTTTCGAGGAATTGCCATCCTGCTTTCCATACTATTATTTTACATTTTCACCAGTACTATACAAAGTTACCAAATTCTCCACACCCTTGCCAACGCATGTTAATTTCTGTTCTGTTGGTGGTGGTGGTTTTATTTTTGTCTTTGATACTAGCCATTCTAATAAGTGGTCAGATGCTTATATATTTTATTTTATTTTATTTATTTCTTTCTTTTTTTGGTATTGGGAATGGAACTCAGGACCTTGCGCTTGCCAGGCAGGTGCTATGCTGCTGAGCTATATCCCCAGCCCAAATGCTTATATATTTTAATCAAACTTTATTTTGAGATAACTATAGACTCACGTGCAGTTGTTAAAAGTAACACAGAGAAAGCCTATATCCATTCCCACTTACCCCGAAGGTAACACCTTGAAAAACAGACGATGTCCCAGCTCAGATGCTAACAGAGAAACACAGTAGATACAGGGCTCTGTCTCCGCCTGGGCCTGACCTCTGTCCCACGCCAGCTCCTCCTCAGCCTCTGGCAGTTACTAGCCCGTTCTTCATTTCTATAATTATGTTGTTCAAGAGTGTTCTGTGAGTGGGATCTATGAGTTTGTGACCTTTTGGACTAAGGTCG